AAAAATATTCAGGACCAAATTTAAAAAGTGAAAGATCTATATCAAGAAAACTCTAATATTTACAATGGAGAATGACAGAAGACTTAATAAAGGTTAAAAGATGATACTTCTTTATGAAAAAAGCACAATTTTGTAAACCTGTCCATTATCGCTATATAATTATATTTATAATTTATAATTAAATATAGAAATATTTAAGAGAATCAAACTCAGAATACCAATACATTTGTATTCATAATCCTGCACATATTCTGTATTTTAAATATTTTTAAATGGTTAAGAGACTTGGGCCTTTGAGAGGTAACAGATTAGCTTTAGTAATTCCTATCTAACTGAAGAATTCATTCGAGTTGTGATTTTTGAGTTGAAATACATTGGTCTTCATAAGGGAGGAGTCCAGCCCTTTGGCCTGAGGGACTCGAACATCTGATACAAGGTCTTCATTCACTGGCATCTGTTGGTGGTGTTGTTATTCCAGCTTCTACCAACCCTCTGTTCACAATGATAAATACGTTCTCTAAGAAGATAGAAGCTTTCTCTGCAGCTCTCTTTGCTTCTTTCGAGTCCTCAGAATTCCCTTTCATGTCCATATTCCTGTCAACAGTCTCGTAAAGGCAACCTAGGCTTTTTCTATCATGTACCTCAAAACTCTCCCAGTCTCTACCTATTCCCCAATTCCAAAGCCACATCCACATTTTTAGGTATTTGTTACAGTAGCACCCCATTTCCAGGTACTAAAATCTGTATCAGCTTGCTAGGGCTGCCGTAACAAAATACCACAGACTGCGTGACTTAAACAAGACAAATATATTGTCTCACGGTTCTGGAGGTCGGAATTCTGAGATCAAAGCGACGGCCAGGTTTGTTCCTTCTGAAGCCGTGAGGGAGAAGCTGTTCCAGGCCTCCCTCCTTGGCTTGTAGATGGGGGGGTCTTCTCCCTGTGTCTCTTCACTTCATCTTCCCTCTGTACCTGTCTGTCTCTGAGTCCAAATTTCCTCTTCTCATAAGGACAACTGTCATGTCAGATTAGGGTCCACACTAATGACCTCACTTTCACTTGCTCACCTCTGTCAAGACCCTATCTCAAAATAAGGTCACATTCTGAGGTCCTGGGGTTAGGACTCCAACATATACTTTTGGGAGGGGCACAGTTCAACCCGTAACAGTGTTTGTGTTCCAAACTGCTAAGTTTTCCATCACTCTCTGTGGGTTCACTGACATGCGACTCTGGGGCTAAGAAGCATGTGGTGGGTTTCTGGAGAGCACAAGGGGTCACTTTTCTCCATCCCAGAACACACAACAGCATCACAAACCGACTCCAAATCAAAGTTGTTAAATTTCCAAGCTTTAATCCCAAACCAGACCACAGCGAGGTCAGACTCAGATATTCACCCCTCCCTCTACCCGAGTTTCAGATTAGCCAGAAGAAGTCTCTCCCACAGGTGAGCACATCCAGATGTGGGAAATCAATAGGTCCAACTCCCTCCCAAGACGCCCTAACCTCACCCCCCCACTCCCTAGTTACCCCATCAGGTCCCCACCAGCCTTCCCTGGGGACCGTCGTTTGCAAAAAGCCTCTCCCCATCCCACCCCCAAACATCCTAAATTCAGCCACTGAGGAAAACATTTACAGAGAGAAAAGATGAGGGTACAAGAGGCAGGTTTGTGCAAACAATGTGGGCCCCAGAGCAGGGAGAACACGGTTTCTCCAGGACATGGGGCCAAAGATTTTGAGGGGGGACAATAGAGAAAGGAGAAGAGTTTGGAAGGAGCTTAGAGAAGGGACAATGGTGGCTCTAGGTGGCCCTGTGCCCCCACTTGGGACAGAGTGAGCCCCAGGGCCAGGGAGGCAGGGTGAGCAGGAGAAAGCAGCCGCCCCCCAGCAGCAGGACCAGGCTGGCCCCCACACCGCAGCCCAGAGACCAGGAGTATTCGTAGGTCAGGGCTGGGGGCGGGGGAGGCTCGGGGCTGACTCTCTGCAGCAGGGCTTGTACGGAATGCCGGAACACCTCCAGGCTGACCAGCAGCAGCAGGCCTGTGGGGAGAGGAGGAGGACAGAGTGTGGTGCTCAGGCCCCAGGGGACCCCAACTTGGGTCTGAGCATCTCCCCCTTACACCCCATCACATGCTTGCTCAAACAAGAAACCTGGGGGACCCCCCAGCACTCAGTCATTCAACCACAGCTAATTACTAAACACCTACCATACAGCAGGCACAATTTTGGAAGCTGGAGATAAAGACACAAATTGATAGAGACAGAAAGTAGAATGGCAGTTGCCAGGGGCTGAGGGGAGAGGGAATGAGAGGTGGTGTTTTCGTGGAGACAGAGTCTCAGTGGGGAAGATGAAAAAGTTCTGGGGATGGATGGTGGTGAAGGTTGCACAACAGAGTGAATGTACTTAATGCCACAGAACTGGACGCTTAAAAATGGTTAGAATGGTGAATTTTATGTTATGTGTATTTTATCACTTTACAAAAGAAAAAAGCAAGCCGAGGAGTCAAGAATCGCAAAAGTCAAGTGAAGACCCCATCAAGGCGTTTGTGAAGAGTGACGGTGGAACCTAAAAGAGTCGAACTCATAGAAGCAGAGAGCAGAATGGTGGCTGCCAGGGGGTGGGAGGAGGGGGAAATGGGAGATGTTGGTCAAGGTTACAAAGTTTCAGTTACACAAGATGAATGAGTTCTGGGGATCTAACGTATAACATGGTGACTATAGTTAACAATACTGTGTTGCATACTTGAATGTTGCTAAGAAGTTAGATCTTAAATGTTCTCGCCACACACAAAGGAAGATAACCATGCAAGTTGATGGATATGTTAACTAGTTTGATTGTGATAATCATTTCACAGTGTATATGTATATCAAAACATCAAGTTGTACATTGTAAATATATACAATATATACTTGTCAATCATACCCAATAAAGCTAGAAAAAAGAGCAATGGTGGATCACAAAATGCAGAGAAAGGCAGTCAAGTTGTAATGCAATTTGATTTAAAAAACAAAGAAAAAGAAAGAAAGAACAAGACAGACAAAGACACCTTTGTGTCATGGAGCCTATATTCTTTTTTTTTTTTTTTTTTTTTTTTTTTTTTTTTTTTTTTTTTTTATTGCAGTAACATTGGTTTATAACATTGCAAAAATTTCAGGTGTACATCATTGTAC